GCCCCCCACACACTTTCTTTTGACATTCTGCATACGTGTCAGCACCCCGCTCTACCTAGCTGGATTTTCATAATAAAGTAAGATACTGTAAAAGTTTCTTAAATGGAAGGATAACTTTTTACTCCAAACCCTAAATTTTACATTCCTGAAAGAAAAATTACCTTTGTTTCCTCTTATCAGCCTATATTTGAAGAAAAAACTTTCCCATTAAATTAACTTTAAGAATAAGCTTCTCAAACAGCTGCGTTTTGTTCAACAACTCCCTTTAGGCACTTGTCAAAACGTTAAGTACTGAATCTTAAATAAACAAACTTACTTTGGCTATATTGTTGTAATATTAATCATTAATTTGTAGCGTGTTTAGATGTTTGACTGATTTGGGCTATTCAAAACACTTCGTTGAGTTAAAAAAACACATTTAGTTGGGAGCGGACTTAGCCTCAAAAGAAAAAAAAATATGTAGCACTTCAAAGACTAACAAGATAGTTTATTAGGTGATGAGCTTTCGTGGGGCAGACCCACTTCTTCAGATCATATTCTTGTTAGTCTTTAAAGTGCTACATATTTTTTCCTTTTGTTTTACCAAGATCAGACTAACACTGCTTGGGGGTATGTCTACACTACCCCGCTAGTTCGAACTAGCGGGGTAGTGTAGACATACCCTTACTTAGTAGTCTCAGACGCAGTGTTTCTGGCCAGTTGCCTGGCCCCAGCAGCAATATGGATCTCTCGAGAATGGATACTTGTAACTGAAGGCTTTCCTGCTCTGGATACAAATTTCTGTTGTCGAGGTACCCTTAATACTCTCAATAGTGACTGATATTCTTTTGAGATTGTGAGTTATAAAAATAAAAGTGAAGTTGCATTTTCCTAATTAGAGCCAAGCATTGTCCCTTATGCACGCCGCAGCTGGAGTGAGAGGGAAAGGACACACCTTTATGAGGTGGTGAAAGTTATCTGTGGCCGTGACATATCAGCTTCATTCTCCAAAAGGCAAACGCCAAGACAGTGAGAGAAGCAAAGCTGTTGATGAGTTATAGACAAAACCTTTTGCATCCGGGAGGTGGTGACCCTTTCGTAATTTGAAAAGCCCGCGCTGTGCAAGGATTGGACAGTGACAAACCATTATATGAGTTTGAAAATACCCGCGCTGTTCAAGGATTGCCCAATTCTAACCTTTTTATTTTACAAGTTACAGGCACTACCTGAACGCCTTTGTAGTCTCTCGAGTGGCGTGGATACGATTAGGTACCAAACTGCTCCCCCGGTTTTCCTATTTCATTCATAAACAGATTAGACTTCCATTTGGAGACCTTTGTTCTTCTAGTTCTGATCACAAACATCTTGCTAGAGAACTGTGTACATGACACGAGACGTCTAGAGTTAAATACTGACTCTTCTTAGTAAAAGTCATGCAGTGGAGAATAGATGACTATGCATTAAATCTAAACACCACACAATTTAAAAACTGAAAGTGATCTACACTGATGCCAATTTAATCCAATGTTAATAGAAAGGAAGAAATGTCACTGCTCTTGTTTGAACATAGTTCCTGTTTGAAAAATAAAGGGAATCTCTTCAAGCCCCACCCTCAACCAATGTGGACCTGGCACCCTTGGAACAAAGGACAAATAAGGGGGAGGAGGGAATCAGAATATAGGGAGGCTGGGGGGCCCTCCAGTGGCACAGCAGCTCCACTCTTGAAAGTGAGATCAGAATTTGCATATCCTCTTTTAAAACTTCAGTGTAGTCTAGACAAGCCCATTACTGAAGTCACTGAAAACCGTGGTCATTATTTTTATAGGATAAAGAATTCAGTTTCCTAATGGCTCTTTAGAGATAAACTAACTTTTCTTTACTCTTGAAGGTGGCTCTAAACAGAATTTCTGGATTTATTGTGTTATATCCTCTTGGTTGCAAGGGAATATCTTGTCTACATGCAGGTCATGCTTTTGCCCAATAAAACAGTGCCACAAGTCAAAAAACAAGTAATCATCCAATCGCAAAGCTAAAATCAGGTTGATACAACATGATGGGTTAACTTGAGGACAATGTAGATCACTTTCAGTTTTTACATTTTGTGTGGGTGTTTAGATGTAATGCCTTACAGAGCTTTGAAGAGCTATAGATAGCGTAATGCCTTACAGAGCTTTGAAGAGCTAAGTAGGGGATGATCCTGTTTTTCTTGTTGTCCCAAGCAGTACCATCTGTCAAGCAGTTAAAAAATTTCAGTGACCGGATATGTGACATCCATGGCCATATAGATCAGGGCTCTAATCCTGCACCGATATGCTCAGAATAATTGACCTTGCAGATCAGACAGTGAACAAAGTTTAGTTTAGAGGGAACCGCAGCCTGCTCTACGAAGAGCCAGCTTTTCCCATCTACCTTAAGATATTTGATGCTTTAGACCTTAATGTACATGGATGATGTAAACAAATTTTCATTTCTCACTTCAAAGTGGTTTCTTTGGCTCAAAAACTATGTAAAGAAAGGTTGTGAATTTTTCTAAAATTAATGAAACTCTGGATTTAATTTTAATTTAAAATATTTACGTGGCATGATGAATGCTCCCTGCCCCTTTATTGTGTCACCTGGAGCATTGGGACAGGTGAATCACAGATGCACTTCCATCTGAAGCTCACAGCTGTGCTGCCTGGAGCATTGGCACTGGTCCTCCTGCCTGCCACCCACCACCTGGCCTCAGCAGCAAAGTGAGCCTCTGCTCCCTGGCCCCTGAATACTCCAAGTTCCAGGCCAGCCCCAGTACTGGGCCAACTGGAGCTGCGGGCACTGCTGAGTGCCAGGCTGGCCCCAGTGCTGCCAGAATTGGGCTGGGCCCTGCAGCGGGCCAAGCTGGAAGCCTCCCTGAGTGACGACGACTGCTGCCATGAAGGACTCCTCCCTCATGCTGCTGGCCCCAGCAACACCTAGCCAAGACTCCTCAGCCCACTGGCTGCTGGCTTTCCATGTTGCTCATCACTCCTTCATCCCAAAAGGGAGGGATGTGATGAGCAGCAGGGGCCTTTGGGGATGGTGGATGGAGTGGATGAGGCAATGGGATTCTCCAGGAATTGGAGTACACTATGGCCAAGGTGTCTGTTGGCAGCAGTGCCAGGGAAGGTATTATTATACGTGGTTCACATGCCTTTATTATTTTTATTATTCTCCTCTAAACTCTCCAATCTGTCCATATCATTCATAAAGCGTGGTACCCAAAATGGGACACAATACACCACCTGAGCTTCACCTTTGATGAGTAAAGGGGATAATTATTTCCTGTGTTGTTCATAGAACAGTCCTGTAAATACATTACAGAATATTTGTCTGTTTCCCAATTGACTTACATTGTTGCTTCTCATTCAGTTTGTATTCCATTATAATTCCCAAATAGCATCCAGTAGTATTGCCACCTAGACAGTTAATCCCATTGTGGAGTTGTGCATGTGATTGTTCCTCCTTAAGTATAGTACTTTGCAGTAGCTATTGATTTTCATCTTAAGTTCAGACCAATTGTCCAGTAAGCACATCAGAAAGGACAAAGAGGGCACTTGGTCCTGTGTGAATTCCAATGCAGATAGTAGGTTCAGAATGTCACTGAGACTATACAAAAGCGTTAGAAAAAGACAAAGCTCACATATTCCCCCAGTTTCTATATATAAAACTAATATCAGATGCTGAAAGTGGAAATAGCCATTTTAGCACATCCTTTGGATGCAATTAAGGTGTACTTATATTAGCCCTCCCCTCCTTACCATTCTTTCGAAAAATGGCAGTGAATGTGGGGTGGAAGAAAAGAAAGATGTGTCCAGAAACTTAATTGGTAGCATTTTGCTGCACACAGGAAAGTCTTAAAAATCAAAGGAACTTTTAAAAAAGAAATAGTGAATGTGAAACACTTTTTTGGGGAAGATCCCCAGGAACACATTTTTCAAAGTGGTTCTTATTGTCAAGAGTTCAGAGAGACCAGTATTTCTGGAAAATATAGGATTTCAATATTTATAACAATTAGGTAGGACTTAGTAACTTATACAAGTAGAAAATCTCAGGAAATACTACCGAACTAAATATTTATTATTTATTAAATTTAAAAAAATTGGATCTATCTATCTATTTACCTCTCCAAACTTTCTGAATTTTAAAAGGGGCGGCGGGGGTGGGGAGGATTGATCTCCTTCGCTTTTCTTCTCAATAAGCAGGCTGGGGTGGGGGAGTGGAATAAAATTGACACGCCTCTTTACGGTTTTCAATTAGGTCGGTTCGGTGCATATATATGAGGGGATCACATACGCTGGTTATTCACTTTTTTCGAAGTCATTTTGGGTGTTAGTGCTGTAACTAAGAACCCAGTCATGTCTGGACGTGGTAAAGGTGGTAAGGGACTTGGAAAGGGGGGCGCTAAACGACATCGGAAGGTGCTTCGTGATAATATCCAAGGTATTACAAAGCCCGCTATTCGTCGCTTGGCTCGTCGTGGGGGAGTGAAGCGTATTTCGGGGCTGATTTATGAAGAGACTCGCGGAGTGTTGAAGGTTTTTCTGGAGAACGTGATCCGAGATGCTGTGACTTACACAGAGCATGCCAAACGTAAGACTGTCACTGCCATGGACGTAGTTTATGCTCTGAAACGCCAGGGTCGCACTCTGTACGGATTCGGTGGTTAGCAGGATTTCCTCTCTAAGTCTTAATAACAACGGCTCTTCTCAGAGCCACTCACGTTTTCACAGTGAGAGCTGTATCAGCCTAACGACCACGGGAACATGTACCAAAGAATAACTAGTGCGGGGAATTTATGATCTGAGCAACCAGTTCACAACCCTATTATAATCTGGGAACATGTACCAAAGAATAACTAGTGTGGGGAGTTTATGATCTGAGCAACCAGTTCAAAACCCTATTATAATCCACATACGTCTGTTTCAGCGCTAATTCATGGAGAGGTGCGGGGTTGAACCATGTGAGTCTGAAAACAAGTGAAACGGTGCTGAAGGGAACACGCAATAAACCCTAACTAGACTCGTACCGTTTGTGTTAATTCAGATTTTGTTTAAACTATTTAAACAATAGTTGTAAAGCACTGAAGATACTTGATAGTAGCAACCGCTTGCAGCAAATGACCATCTAGCTGTAGATAGTGCTGTGCGCGCAGGCGCAATCTCGGCAGTTCCCCTAGCAGTCAGAAATACAAAAATTAGATTTACGAGGAAGAGAAACGCAGTCTATAAAGCATTATAGGGGTATTTTAAAAAACAAGTCTTGCTAATATTCTTTTTGCTATTCTCCGCTAAATCTGTTTGCAGGATGCATTTGAGATAAAGGGGATTAGTGAGATAATTAGTGTATAAATGCTGCCTTTAGGGGAATGAACTAAAGTATCTCTAAGACTACAGTGTAAACGCATACCGACCTAGAGCCTGAAGGAGTGTGGATGAGGACGGCTGGAGAAAATATTGGCGATTTTAGAAGTAAAAATCTGTTCTTCGGGCGGTGAGTTAAAAACCGATTTCTCTGTTTGAAAAGCCCGCGCTGCGTAAGGATTAGTCAATTACAAACCCGTGAGTTTGAAAAGCCCGCGCTGTGAGATGATTGTCCAGTGACAGTCTGTTTTTGTTTTTGTTTTTTTTACTTCTTCACGGAGATACCTAGACGCGTTCCTTTGCTCAGTCGGAGTAGGGCATTCGGCACAAAGTTACGTCCGAGGATTTTCTATTTGATTTCAAACAAATGCACCAGTCATTTGGAGACCTTTATTCTTGTCAATCTGACAATCTGTAAAATAAAGTTTAGCGTGGGACGTTTCTATTCCATATGAGACGGAAAAACCGTGCTGTTCCCAATTGGCACATTACACTTCACCAATGGTCACAGTTAAATCTGCTTCCCCATTGGCTGTTCCCCAAGGCAACATTTTATCGCAAATGGTTTGACTTGGAAAAAGGAAAGGCAGCTCAGCTGCTGGCCCGGATGTCTCTTGGCTTTGCCCTGAATTTCTTTTCCCGAGCCAAGCGTGCACAAGCGAATTGTAAATGTCAGACCGGTAAAAACAAGGAGATAAGGGGAGAGCTAAGATGAAGTCGGCACCCCAGAGCCCCGGTCTATATGGCCGCCGTGCTGGAGTATCTGACCACTGAGATCCTCCAGTTTGCTGGCAACGATGCTCGGAACAACAAGAAAACTCCGATCATTCCCCGCCATCCGTAATGACTAGGAGGTCAACAATTTGCTGGGGAAAGTCATAATCACTCAAGGTGGTGTCCTGCCCAAGAAAACCGAGAGCCATAAGGTCAATAGCAAGTAATACTGACAGAAATGAACACTTCCACTTTCAAAGTAACCTAAAGTCTCTTTTCAGAGCCACCCACGAGGTAAAAAAGGGGCTGATTATCTCCAAAGTTGGTAGGTATTGTGTTTATGGAATCCTCATTTTACAATACTAACTTAACAAAACATTTTTAAACGTCATTTACATAAGTGGGGATAGGATTCTGCCTTCATTTTTCTAACAGGAACGACCCTTTTCCCCCTTTCCGTGAACAGTGGATTAATTTGGACAAAATGTTTGAACTACATGCTGTTCACACATGCCTTTGCAAACCTAGTGGAGGGGAAATTTGGCTGAAAGTGACATGCGAAATTAAATATCGAATACACGATAGTTTGCATAATATAAGAGGAAGTCAGTATTTACAACTCATTTAACAAGTTATTTGTTATCAGATGCACAAAAATAAAGATCTCCAAGTAGGAAGTCAGTATTTACAACTCATTTAACAGGTTATTTGTTATCAAATGCACAAGAATAAAGATCTCCAAGTGGGTAATGAAGTCTATTAGAAAATCCCAGAGACATAGGGGCAGCACTAACCTGACAGTTAATATCATCGGGTGCTCCAGTTGGATGGGTGTCTTTGGAGAAAATGGAAGATGGCCACCATCATGCTTCCACTGCTGGCATCTGGCAGGGCCATCCCTATGGTGACCAGGGCCCAGGGCAACTCCCGCCCCCCACACACTGTACCCTAGGTACAGGGGCCCAGGGCAAACCCCCTGCAGGCCCTGCCACGGCTCCACCCCATTGCTTAGAGCCCCCTCCTATGCGTGACACAAACTGAGGGATTACTGGGGGGGCTTGGTGCGAGCTGGCAGCAGTGGTCTCCTCCCCCCTCCATGCACTTACCACAACAGGAGGAGCCATGGTCTTGGACTGTTGATCATTAATGTCATGCTGGATTGCAGGTGCTATCACTGTATGTGGAGTTAAGAAGCATTGCTATGTGTGTGTGTTACTGAAATCTGTTGTGATATTGGTAGTCCCCACAACTAGGCTTTCAGGTACAACAATGAAAAACCTAGACAGTCCTAATGGCCCCATTAAAGGGAATCCACGTGACCATGGACTATCTCAGAAATTAGTTGCAATGGGGACTTCCTAGAGGGAGCATGTAGGCTATGGAGGATGCTTAACTGCGGGAAAGGGGGGGCAGACCACAAACATCCACAAATTAGAAGAAGCTATGAAAGAGGTGAAGTTACAACATCACTTGGCCTCACTCCTAAAAACACAGCATCTGAAAACAGAGATTGAATTGGGGAAGGAGGTGCCAGGCAGGAAAGAAGAACTCTTGTCTGTGCACAAAAGCAAAAAAAAAGCTTGGTGAACTGTTTATACCAGGGGTGGGCAATAGTTTTTGAAGGGGGCCACTTTGTGAATTTCTGAAGTGGTTGCCAGCTGCCCCCAAAGGGGTGGGGCTTCGAGTGGAAGGGGTGGGGCCAGGAGGCTTAGTCACGTACAGACCCCAATTGGCTTTGAGGTGGGGGAGCAAGTGAAGTCTTAGCTCCCCCTGCCCACACCCTGCCAGGGGTGTGCAGTGCCTAAAGAGGACCACTAGGTAGTTCCTTCTGGTACTATGTGCCCCTGGCAGGGGGAGGAGATTTCACACACTGCCCTGTCCTCAGGTTTCAATTGGCCTGAGGGCGGGGGAGTGGCAGGGCAGCAGGGGGCAGGAGCACTTTCAACATCTGCTATTGAAAGGGCTCTCAGCTCTGGCACCAGGAGCTGCAAGCCCTTTAAATAGCAGCAATTGAAAGGTCTTGCGCCTCCACAGTGGTTCCTAGGTTCCTTATTAGAGCCAGATCCAGGAGCTGTCAATGGGCCAAATCTGGCCTGCTGAGAGCTTCTTGCCCAGCTCTGGTTTGTACTATCCAACAGGGTGAGACACTGCTTCATTCAAATCCTGTCTCGTTTATAAAGCTTAGACTGCATTTTTATTTATTTCTCGGGTAATGTACTTTGATCTTATAATCACTTAAAGCCAATATTTCTGTAGTTAATGAATGACTATCCAACAGGGTGAGACACTGCTTCATTCAAATCCTGTCTCGTTTATAAAGCTTAGACTGCATTTTTATTTATTTCTCGGGTAATCTACTTTGATCTTATAATCACTTAAAACCAATCTTTCTGTAGTTAATAAATAAATTTTGTATTTTTTTACCGAGACCAGTGTATTTTGCTGGACATGCTTGGAAAACCTGCTCAGGAAGAAAAATTCATGCATTATCCTCTCAGCTTTGAAGGATAATAAACTTGTACTGGCCAGACTTCTGACCAGGGCAAGATGGGACGGCTCTGTGAACCTACACTTCGGAGCTGGGGAGAAGATTCACAGTAACTGTATCTGGGTGCATCCCTGCCTTTGTATAGATTTGTGTGAGTGCAGGGTTGATAGCAATCAACACCTTATCATAGTGTGAAATGAAGCCCAGGCGTATGATACAGAGAGCTCAGCGGTACCCCAGTTTGAAGTTGCAACTGAGAGCTAGGGGCCTTCAGAATTATAAATAAATTCATGCATCTTGACCCAAAATAGTTCTGTAATACAAAGAACAAGGTGTAGCCCAGGCTTTAAACATTAGGAAAAACCAGAATTAAGGTTACATGTACAACCTTAGTGCAGCACTGTTGAGCGTGTGTGTTATGACAAAGACTCACAAGTGTGGCCTTGAGGTCAGTTCCCTTCCCCTCATTGCATTGATTTCCTCCAAACTACCAAAGGAGGAAGTGGAGTTTTCTCCATGTAAGGATGCAAACAACTTGCCGACTATACAAAAAGCAAATGCTTATTGGATAGTCGACACACTAGTCGACTAGTCGCTTCCCCCTCTCCCTTGCTCCTTTTTTCAGAAAGAGGCAGCAAAGAGTGGGAGAGGAGAGGGTGCTTCAAAGCAGCAGTGACTGGCATCAGGCTCCATGCGATGTTTCAAAGTGTCAGCGTCGCATGGAGCCCGCGGTCAGTGGGCAGTGTAGGGATGTGAACGACTAGTCAACTATCCAATAAGAAAATGCTTATCGGAAAGTCGACACACTAGTCGACTAGTCGCTTCCCCCTCTCCCTTGCTCCTTTTTTCAGAAAGAGGCAGCAAAGAGTGGGAGAGGAGAGGGTGCTTCAAAGCAGCAGTGACTGGCATCAGGCTCCATGCGATGTTTCAAAGTGTCAGCGTCGCATGGAGCCCGCGGTCAGTGGGGGAGTCCTCAGCTGGCCCTGGGCTGCACGCAGCTACGTATTGCACTGCCGCTTTGAAACGCCACAGTGCTTTCATCTTTGAAGTGTAGCAACAACCCTGGGGCTGTTAACACCTCTTTAAGGAGCACATTTTTACCCACACACTCCCCACAGATCACAAGGACATACTGACCCAGGTTCAGGACAGGGTCTGACAACCTGATGGATAGAGATACATTGATCAACCCACCAGGAGGAGCATACACACATGGCCAAACA